ACCTTTTTTAGTGTTTTCCACAGCTCTAACACGTTTTAAAACATGAATGGTAACGTAAATGTTCAACTAACTCATCACTTTTTAGTATTGACTGATCATAACCAGTAGTATTTTCAATACTTAATTTTAAAGTAGGTAACTAAATGTGCGCTATAGTAATGCACTCTGATAAGAATAATACTACACTTCACTCTTCCTCTCGTCCTAGACTTTAAACTTTAACATTAATAGCAGACATCCAAAACTGGTTATCGACCAGTCAACATTTTTAGAAAATTATTCTTAATTTATAAAGTTAATTAAATGCATACGTTATTATTTGAGTTTCAAAAGTTCTGGAAATCTCTGGAAGATATTAAAAAAGGTAAATATTTAGTAGTTTTAAAATAATAAAAAAAAACAAAAACATGTTTTCAAATAAAAAACACTAAAAATTGCAATTTTTTTAAGAGACTAATTCTTTTATGAACCACCCTGTATAGTTAATACCCAAACTGAAGCTCACGGCGTGACGGTGATAAAAAAAGCCATCAACTTCTATAATATACTAAATATTAAAGCAATGTCATATAAACTTAGGCAAAACCATTATTTTATTTATTATAGGTCTAATTTTCTTTAATATACTCCAAGGTTTATAGATAATATTATCTATAATCCTTGAACATACTAAACACCTCTGTGTGAATGCCCACGAACCAGACTGAAGTCAATGACGAATTTGGTCTTGGAAGCGTTTCGAGTACTTAAATATAATTTGATTGATAGCAAAAAAATAGCTAATCGTTTTAAATGGTATGAAAAGAAACCTTCGCTTACACTTCAGAAAAGTCTGTTAAAAAAAACTTACAGAGTAAATTCGATTAAATGTCTTTGTACAATTTCGCTAAGATTTACTATTTTTTTTTTTAAGTGTAATGGATTTTAACTTTTCTGAGCGGAAACGTTCTTTTGTCTGTGCACGAGAACCCATAAAAGTGTAAATAAAAGAAATGGAGTGTTATTTTGTTCGGCTTAAGTATAATGTATACGTTTTTATGTACATTTTCTGAAAATTATGTATCGATTTGAATAGTTTTTTTTTTTTAGTATAAAGCACCTTCGGTAAGATCTTTTCCGAACTCCGCCCTAGGTCTCTCAAAATGCAAACCATTCTCTGAACAACGTGTCTGCTATTTAATGCAATACTAAGTCAACATTATCACATCCATCAATCGTTGTAACTACATTACCAGTACTTGCCTTTTTTCGCAAACACTGACTTCTCTTTTAACGCGTTTTTCATTTCAAAAGTAGATTATCAAAAAAAAAAAACATCATACTAAAAAACTATAAACATTAAAACAAATAATAAATTTAACATAGATTTTTTTTTAGTTTTCTTAAAAGTATTTACATTGGAAACCCTACAATGGATTTAATGTCAATCTACAGTTAAACATGGTGAGTTAGAAAATTATCTGTTATCTCTCTTTTGTTTAGAAACGAATTTTTCTAAATAAATAATAGCTCTATTTGTATTCTTAATACATCAAGAGATTCAGGGTCTACAAGGCTCGGTCGGGTGTGTATCCTCGACTTACTATTTATTTTGTTATGGCTATTATTATCGGAAATTCTTCAGGTTTATCTATATGCATCTTCCATTACGATAGATAAATATTTCGGTTGGTAGGTAACGGTTTTACATTTTTTTTTAATCCTAAAATATACAGGGTGATCATTTCATCGTGGACCACTCAATATCAAATAATCAATACTTATGTCTATTTGTATCAGAATTCAAATAATTGTATCCGATGAAATAAATAAATATGTAGATAATATGTATTTATTATTATTATTATTTGTCCGGTGACAATCACGTCTGTTTGACTTGAAGCTAATCCAGAGCGGTCGAATTGCACGCCGTATAGGTTTTATGTATATTATTTTTATTATATCAGCGCTGCAGTACTGCAGTACAGTCTAAGAAATAAAAATGCGAATCGTATTAAAACGTGATGGGACAAAGTTGAAAGTTTTGCCCGGTGGCGTGTCCTCGTTAAAATACTTAAATTAATCTTGATCCGTTCCCTTTAACTCAAAGATAAACATCGAGCTATTATTCTGTCAGCGAGAAAACCAGAACCTTTAAGAAGTTTTATTAACGCCGCGCCCCAAAGCTAAATCTTTTCCATTAAGTACACTCGAGAGGTTCTTTACAAGTTTAGAACTTTGTCGATTCCACAAACGCGTTATCATTTGAAAATTCCGTCGCGCAAATTCGGTTAGACACGGTATCATGATAATATTGGCCGCGGGCTAATTACATTTCACCGACCCTTTTGCCCGACTCGTGTCCATATAAGTAGATACTTACATAGCTAGCTGCTCGAGTTGATACATTTTACGTATTAGAAGTTTTGACTTTGGATAAGATGGTATATGATATGTTGATGTTGGATGTTCGAGGCTTATTAATATTGTACTCTATATAAAAGTAATTAGGTGAAACTGTTTTGAAATTATCAATTGTGTCAAACTCGGTGATGCAACTATGAGACAAAGGATAGCCGTTTGCTCAAGTTAGAAATTGGAATTTTCCATAAAATAGTTATTTTTTAGTAGGTATGAAAGGATAACAAACGCGAAGCCGTTCTATATATGTATACATCCTGGACGCTTCTAGCGCACATAGTCAAATGGGTTTTATCGTCGATACTGTCCTTTTCCATTATTCAAAGCAATCGTATTAACTATACTTCAACGGGCGCATACAAAATTGATTTTCAAAGTGACAACGCCGGTAGCAATAAAAAGTCTTCATCTCAAAGAAATATTCAAGCTTTAGAAACGCTTTGAAATGAATGAAAAATAGAAATGAAAGATAGATTTAAAAAAAAAAGACATAAACACACACCGTTGTAAGACCAATGCCCTTTTAGCTCGACATCAAAACTATAAAACGTCAAGAGAACAGCGTCTTAAATCAAGTCTTTGATTTAAGTACTATCAGGTCTGTTTCTTCATCTATGAAAACTTAGATTAAGAAACAGATACCAGTGACCGTTTTCTGTAACTTACCCATGTATCGTCAATAAATCATAAAAAAAAACATACTTAACATGGAAATATCTCTTAATGAAACGGTTCATTAAAATCTAAATGTTATCCAAATATATTTTTGTACGTAATAATGTAATAAATTCAGCGTTATCAAAGACGAAGTTTATTTTAACAAGTTACACGCACAAAAAATCAAATTAATTCAATTTAATCATAAACGCAGAAAACCTTTTAACGGTATTTCTAGTTAATGTAGTATATTTTATTGAGATAATTTATTCTAATACCCACTGGCCTTTTAATGGAAAACGGTTCGATGTTCACTCTAATGTGATTGTAAAAAGCATTTTGAACTTGAACGGTGTGCATCGGGGCTTGTCGTGAAATTTCATTTTAAACGTCCGACTTGACGAAGAACAATATAATGATATTGTTTTTTTTTTACATTGAAACTGTAACAAGTAAAAGAAAGGCTGACAAACGTTTTTAGTTTCAACAACATTTCTAAGTACCAGCGACGGTTTGCTGCAATTTTGATAAAATATACCTACGTGTATCTGACGTGTGATACGACTTGACGTGTCAACAGAGCTTTTAGCGGCGCTGAAATAACTGAACTATAATTATTATTAAATCAAATTTCAAATTTTGGATAACACGGTTCCCAAACCTTTTAACGTTTCATTAGCATGCGTCAAATGTCATTATCTTTACATAAACAATGATTATGGGCATTTAGGCGCTCGTGTTAGCCAAACAACAACCGAGTACACACAAGAGTGTTGTAATGGTTTTTGTTGTCGCGTAGATTTCATGTGTATATTCTTGCTTATATTATATTTTTTATTCAATTTTTTTTTTTATTATATGCATTCTTCTCGGTCATATATTTGTCGATCCAAGTTCGGAACGACATATGGGATTTTTCAAAGTTTAAAACTACATTATAGTAACATGATAGTGAAATCCTCGAGTACAAATCTGTTTTGAAAATAAATAAATCATGCTGAAGTGTTTCCGAAAACGTGTGATTCTTTCCAAAACAAATATACATAAAATCCTTTTTACCTTTTAGCAAGTTCCTTTTTTTCAATCCCATTATTATTCGTACGTGACTGTTTATTTATCGGAACGCTCGACCTCTTTAAACAAATATATTTGTACTTCTTACCCGATATTTTGTAGAGAGAATATTATGTTTTCCATACTAACAAACAGACTAAACAGTTGCTTCTCAATGTATTCCTAAAGGTTGTTATACTGTAAGTAAAAAAAAAATTATTATATTTCTATGATTTGGCTGTTACTCTTTATAATGATTTTTTAGTAATGTGTAATGTTTTATTAACAAAAGCTTCATGTACACGTGTTAAGAATCTAAAACGGTTATTATTAAAATGGCAAAAACGTTGCAATGGAGAAAGGGAATTTGTAAAGTATATACACCGCTTCGTTATTAAGTTTTTTGTATAATACTACGTAGGTAGGTTAATTTCTGTATAATTTTTGCTGATTAAAATCAGCGTCTATTATTGTACAATAAAATACAAAGGTTTACTTTAGGAACTAACAAAATACAAGTATACTGTAATAGTTATCTTCTTTGATATACGTTTAATACATGTGTACGATAAATCTTTCAATCTAAAACTTGTTAGTGTTGCATAATACGTAGTTCAAAAACTCAAAAAACTATTAAAATGTGGATTGAAGGCTATTTTTAGTAAACGGTTTAATATACAATATTACTATGATTAAATAAACAAAATATTACAAAAATTCAACCATTTTCAGCTATTTTCTATTATGCATCCAATTTAGGATTTAGAATAATGTTAATATATTTATATATGTATTGATGGGTGGGAATAAAATATAATATTATGAATTTATCATTTTTTACAAATTACTATGACTTGTGTGTGTGTGTGTTTGTTTTTATTGTGTTTCAGGGGACATCATATCAGTGCGAGGGGTGACGAAATGTCGACGACATAGTCGGTGTCGATATGCCGTCACAACCGTCCGTTCGCATGAAACCCACTCGAGGGCGGATTGTCAAAATGAATTGGGTGTTCAGACTGGCGGCCGAGCTCGTCTTGCTACTGTGCATCCACCAAACAGGTCAGTTTTACCATCAAGCTTCCCAGTATAAGTAAAATAATATTATGAAGTAAGCAAAAAGGCGAGTTGCAGTGTTACCGGAATGGCCAAAATTACATTACTCTGGTGCATGTTTTTAACACAACGTTTAATTACCGCAAACATGCTATACAAACCGTGTCGCCGATCAGTTGTAATGTTGGTTGTCGCGTTACAACATTATCATATTTGTATCACAGAATGAAACCGGAAGAGACACTCTCAAGAATTACACGGGTTCCCTCGGAAGGATAAATTTGTCACTTTTGTTGCACCTGTGGGAAAACCAGGGTAGGCGGTATGAAGATAATTACCGTTAGGTTAGATGCTATACTAACCTCTGGCTAAGTCATCGAACAGATATACTTTATGTCTCTTTTTGGTTATTCTGTGTTATTAAACGAAATTCGGATTTATCTATTGATCCGAATAGTTTATAAGGATTATACTGTACAGTGTTTAACAAAATATAAAAAGAGTGTTTATTTAAAGTGGACACACTGTCGCTCGCCATCTTACTTACTTCGTGACATTGTAATAATATTATGGTGTTATAGCTCTATTAATTTCACAAATATTTTTATATAATAAACTTGTTTGTTAACTATTGACACGAATGGAAGTCGACGTCGACCATTTTTGTGGTGTTTATGGGTGTATAAAATAATATATATATATATATATGATTCTGTGCTATCGACTTAACTTCCGGATCTAGCGGAGGGTGTTGCAACAGCGGTAGAATAAAAAAAAAATAATAATAATTACGCTTCCCCCTCTTTTGCCTCCCCCTCTTGACATGACAATAATATAACACATCATAATCGATGACGTCGCCATACTATCAGTTACACCGGTCGTCGGAACAACACACCGTGTTAGCATATTATTATCATTAAACGGCTTTAGTTTCCAGACCAAAACTTTGTGGCTGCTGTGGTCATGCAAAACTAAATAAAGTAATCGCCATGGTATAAATTACCCGGTTACAACAACGCGTACATATATTATAGTGTTGCAATCGTTTACAGCAGCTGTCGTATATAGTTTTACAACAGGCTGTACAAACTATCGTACGAAGGAAACACTTTATAAATTATAATAAAGTTACAAATATGCATTTTGGATTTTGCACAATAACATAATCGCAGTATAATATTGTTTACGCCGAGAATTATGGTCCCCTGAGAATTACCCAACAGAATGCGAATCAATAAAAACAAGCGATATTAACAGTGCCGTTCCTTTTACTCGGTCTTACAATTTTTTGCAACAGCTACGTAATATGTTAAAATCAACGTAAGACGAACCGGCGATACGGTGAAAATATCAAATTAAAATAGTACATCTTCGAAGAGAAATAGAAAACAAATGAACCCACACGGACAACGAGAATCGTTAAGTGGAAAAAGTCTAGAAAGAGTTGCTCATCTACTAGTAACACATATTATGCTTACTCTGGCCGGTTCATAAAAAATACAACATGATAATAATATAATATATTTATAGCTTCGAGAAAACTCGAGAGAATATTATTCGTTTGAGTTTAGTATAATAACGCTTGGGGTATAGAATAACAAAAATTTGCATACCATAATTTGTATTTTGCATACAACAATATTTAAAGGTAGAGTTAACAGTCAAAATCATTCAGAGAAAAATTAAAAAAGTATATTTCATAGTATTCTTTATTCACTAACTGGACGCTTTTTAATTGGGTTTCTCTTTTGTTTGGGTAACCACGACAAAAATGAATAATTATATTTTTAATTTTTATCTCAGCCGAAACAAATTTACATGAGTATTGTAATTTATATATGTTTTCCAATTATATCTGAGCATAATATACGGTTTTATTCAAATAAAACTTCCAAAATAATGTATATAATAATTAGAATGCAAATACTAGTGCAATCTTTTATAATTATCACAACGAGGAAACTTAATTTGAAAAATGCAAAAAAAAATAATTACTTCAATAAACAACATTATTTTCTACTTGCTCCGCACTATACAATATACAGAAATAACGACATAGTTCATTCCAGAATAAAAATGAATTTTTCATAAATGTAATATTCCCACCAATTTTCAAGAAAAAAACCATACACATTGTCGCTAGACGAACAATTTAATTTAATTAACTTTTATTGAACTCATTATTGAAGAAATCACATGGGTGCATTATTTCAAGTATAAGTAAGGACTAAAACCAAACGGTAGGTACTGTGTAAAGTTTCAAGTATTAAGGATACGTACAACGAAAACTATAGCAGGACTAAAGGAGATATTGATAATTTTTAGACGATACTTGTAGTAGATAGAGGTGGCAGGAGTACATACTGTGTAATAGTTGTTTAGCAAGCAATTTTGTATGGATAAAAATAGTGGCCTATAGACAAATGAAAAATAGTATAAAATGAGTATGGTGAAAATGTGCATATTTTCAAAAAGACAATGGTACGATAAGTGTACACTAACCAACTCATAGATGTCAAACAAAGAAGGTCCCTCGAGCAGTGAATGGTCTAATATTTTATTGTTTAGTTAAATTTGAAGATTATCATAATGTAATCTAATATATTATTGAATTTGTTTTTTTATTTGTACTGTAAAATTAGAATTGTCTTATGTATTTGTTTATTGAATAATATGTTGTTTTCATCAGATGTGATTGGTCGACAGGAGTGGGTTAAATAGAAACTGTTTAATGTATGAGAATTTTTAAACAAAAAGAGGAGAAAAGATAAAGGAACATTGTATGTGCACATGTTATGAGACACCCGCAGTGACGTGGAATTAGAGATTCGAGTTGAAGGTATAAAATAGTTAACGAGTATAGCGTTAAAGATAAAGAAAGCATAGGGTGATTTACGGTAATATCATGCGTTTCACGCCACAAGATTCTTTTGATAGTATAACAAAGACAATATATGTACAGGGTGATTCATTAAGGATAAGACACTCATTTTATCTTAAAACAGCTGCAATTTTGTAGTTTTTCTTTTTTTTTATACACTTTGATTTATGTTTTTTTACAATATTAGGATCAAACTTTGACTTTGCAACAGAGCGCAGAGGACGTTAGATGTGCTATGTGAAAGCACAGAACTACCGGCGTCCTTCGGGTTAGTCTGTAGTTGATTTTCAAGATTTCGGCAAGAAATTTCAAAGGGCTTGTTTAAGGGAAACCACCACCAAAGATTCGGTTGAGGGCGACGGAAATACAAACGTTTAGTCATGTCGGTAGTAATTTGTCACATCGTCGACACCATTAACTGTATGAAGCGTTTACGGGTAACCGCTGAAATTTGTAAGAACAAATTGGATTTTTCTACCAAGCCACTAATGCGTTGCAAACACGATTTTCCACTTTACTCGAAAAAACTTCCATTAAAAAAGCTACAATCGGTTTTTTTACAACTCGTCTATTATATATTTCAATTTTTTTTTCGTTATTAAACCTTAAATTGGTTTGTCACAATTAACCATGCCTGCTTCTTTGTTGCCGCTCAATTCTTTCAGGTCCTTGTATTTTCTTTTATTCACATCCATCATGATTTGAGTCATGTGATCCGCCCTATTAGTATCTTCTCCTCTTTCGAAAATTACAGCTGTCTTGAGTAGACTTTAATGTCTCAACATGTGTCTCAATCGTCTTATCTCTTCTGGATTGTGAATATATTGCCATAACTGTCTTTATCCTATCTAGTAGCTGTTCGTTTGTAAACCTCTCGGCCCATGAGACCTTAAGCATTTACCTAAAGCACCAAATTTCGAAGGCTTGGGTTCGCAGCCAAACAGTGGAGTGGCACACTCCGTACTTAGATTTTTAGAAATTTCGGCAGGTCGACGCTATTAGTAGTTAGTACGTAGCTTTTACCTTTGAAGGCTCTTTTCGCCTATGCTATCCTAACAAAAATTGTACTTTAATCATAGCACGAACACCGTCATTCGAATGTGAAACATGTAAAATGTTCAACGGCAGGCAACAACAATGATGCCTGCCAGCTACTATTGTTTTTTTATTAGATACAAAAGCACATAAGTCGACGTTAGGTATATGTGTATATATATAAAACCATGGATAAGCGGTCACGACCAACTTATATATCAGATATAAACTCGAAGCGGTAAACGGAAAACAGAACCTCGAGTTTTCGCCATTGTTAAGTCTGTCTTTCCTAGAATAAAAGCGCGGAGTAACTGTATTTATGAGCATTGTGATTATAACTTAGAAATGGAATTTTAAAATATTTACCTGCTAAAACTTTAATCGTATAATCGTGATATTTATTGTGTTGCAATAAGCTGTTCAGTTTTTCCGAGAAGACCGTTGCAAAAGAATTTGAAAATGGCAAAAACATTTCGACTTTAGCCGGCCAATTCAGTAGAGGACATTTTTTTTCTACTTCATTAGGAATTCAAAGCGAGCAATACCTACCAGTTTTCCTTGGAATCATTATCGCGGAGAAAATTAAAATATGTTACAATAGGAAAGAAAATTACTCGTTCTACTTTTTTGTTCGCGTTAATAATTTATTTTCTCTTGATTGCCAAATACTCGAGACTAAAAAAAGCAAATTCGTCGAAAACCGGATTAATAGAAAACATGAAAATTAATCAAAAAATTCTTTAACTCAAGAAAATATTTCATTAAGAATTTTTCACATGAAACATCTCGTTGCATTGCAATGATACATTATAAACATTTTGTTTTTTGTGTAGTATTTTGTTTGTTTATCATTATTTAAGTAGGTATATGTGTACTTTGTACACATAAACTAAAGGGTAGAAAACTTATGTTTTGTTTGATTTTCCACGTTTTAAACAAAAACATGGTAACACGGTTTAACTAACGAAATATTTTATAATGAAATAAAAATATCCGGCTGTGTTTCACAAAGAATAACGTTTAAATGGTTTATTTTTCCAATTCCTGTTCACTCGAATGGTCGAGTAACAACAAAATAATGCAAACC